AGAGTCTGGTGCGACAGGGAGCGACACGAACAAGGGGAGGCTACCTGACCTAACGCAGACACCTGACCAGTGGCAGCTACCTGAAGAGGCGTAGTCGTCAGTGTGTGAAGACTCGACCCTGGCCGTCGGGTAAACATGGCAAGGTGGCGGCCGGTCCGGGATCACATACAGATCGCCACACGCTATCCTCCAGGGGGAAAGGTGTCAACCCACTGGTCCTGGAGAACTGCATTGCTCACCAATTTCGTAGAGAACGAGGGGAGGTGGAGGCCTGACAGTGAGCGAGACGGAACCACCGGGCACGGGAGCACAGTGGTGGACCGTGCAAGAACTGGGCCCCCCGAGGGGTCAGCCAGAGAGACTGCAACAGGTGCAGTGAGTGGAGTGAGTGCAATACTGTCACAAAAGAAATAGCAGGAAGCACTTGAGTCAATCGTGAAGGTGTGCAAGGCCTCAGCAGGCGGAGTACCTGAGAGAGCAGATTCGCTCGCACCTAAGGCAGCAGCCTCTATACATGGGTCTCCCTCAGCACTAACAGACAATGCATACATGGCAGCAAGGATAGCATCATAGTCAAGAGCAAAGATGTCTACACCAGCCCTAAGCAGCTCATGCTAGCAAGGGCGCTCGACCTCCTCGCCCATCTCCTCACGCAAGGCGTCGTCAAGGCGGGAGAAGCAGCGGTTCTGGGTGTGGAAAATCCCGCATGTCTGACCAGGGCGGACACCTGTGCGAATGACATACGGGCAGCGACCACTACCCCCAGACGTCCCATGCTGAGCAAGTCACTCACGAAGCTGCTGGGGCGTAATAGCCTCACGGAGACGCTACTGCTGCTGCTGTCTCTGGTCAGCGCAAGCGCCTCTGCCCCGACCGCCACCGCCGCCTCCACCGTCGCCCCGACCGCCACCGCCTCCGCCACCCCCTCCGCCGCCACCGCCTCCACCACCACTCCCACCGCCGCCGCCGACGCCACCACTCCCGCTAGCACCTCCGCCACCACTCCCTCCGCCACCTCCTCCTCCTCCTCCACCTCCTCCACCACCACCCCCCCTGGTGCCACCTCCGCTACTCTTGGCTCCCTTGCCCTTGCCATTGCGGCGCCTCCCACAAGGAGCAGAAGCAGCACCAGTAGACTCAGCACCAAGGAAGTCAACAGCAGTGGCAGTAGCATAGGAGGGGGCGAGGGGAGAGGGAGAGCACCCCTCAAAGATGGGGGTGCGAGGAGCGCCACGAGCAGCACCCACAGTGACTAAGCTAGTCTCGGCGGCTAGAAGCTGCTCCTCTAGGAGGTCGACAGTGAGATCGGTGGGATAGCGAGCGAGAAATTGGTCCCTGACCGAGGGAGGAGAGTCAGGGAGACGGGTCACGATGAAGTGGAGGGTCTAGTACATCGGAGGCGGGTTCTTAGCTAAGAACTCTTTGGGGAGGGCGGCACGAAGGCGAGTGTCACTGGTGTGGAGGTGGGTGATAAGATCGGCAACTGTGGCAAAGGTGGACAGCTCAGGAAACAGGTAGGGCAGCATGAGGCGGCTAAGTGCAGCAGTGGCAGGGGAGGAGTATCGAGCAACTAGAGCGTCGTACAGGGCCTTAGCTGTTTTGTGCTCGCCAAAATGCGTGAGTTCGGCTAGCGGCGGGTGATTGCAAACGGCTAGGCGAGCAGCAGCGTCACGAGTCTGCCACTGGGAACGGGCGCTAAGCTCAGCTGTGGCGGTAGGAGCGACTAAGGCACCAGACGTGTGGTCAAAGAGAGAGACATTGTCCTTGCTATCGCTCATTAGGAACAGCTGCAGGTCATCGAGCCAGGTCTCAAACTGAATCGGGCGGCCCTCAATATGGAACGACAGAACGTGGAGGGTGGCCATAGCTGCTGGCGTGGGACTGGCAGGGCAGAGCGATTGCAAGAAAGCAGTAGTGGCAAGGGTGGCGCGCTAGGCTGAAGCGGGCGGCGCGTTGGGCGTAGCAGGCAGCCGCGGCTGTGGCAGGCAGCGCTCGGGGCTGCAGGCGGCCAGCAGGGCAGCAGAGCGTGCGGCGCGCGGGGCGTAGCGGGCGGCCGCGGCAGTGGGAGGCGACGCGCGGGGCTGCAGGCGGCCGGCAAGGCAGCAGGGCGGGCTACGCGAAGGGCGTAGCGGGCGGCCGCAGCAGCAGGGCGGGCGACACACGGGGCTGCAGGGCAGCGCGACGGGTGGCGCTCGGGGTGTAGCAGGCAGCCGCGGCAGGGGCAGGCGGCGCGGGGGGCTACAGGCAGGGCAGCGCGCTAGAGAAAACGCGCGCTGCAGCAGTGGCGCGCGGCCAGCAGGGGCAGCGCGCAGGTGGCGTGCTCGGGGCAGCGCGACGCGAGGTAGGGCAGTGGGGTAACGTGGTAACCGCAGTCGGAATGGTGGGCCCGAAAAAAAAAAAAAAAAAAAAAAAAAAAAAACGGTCCTACGGACCTACTTCTCTTACACCATGTCAGAACGAGAAGCTAGAATGACTGCATTGAATGAATTGTGGGTTGATAGCGCTGCCTCTACGCAACGGTGGCAGAGAGTCGAGCTTGCTGCGTGGGTGGTCGGCCAATTTGCCTGCTAGGTTGCTAGGCTCTGATGTAGTCGCGCTTGCCTTTGCTTGTTTACTCATTCTGTAATGCCAACTTTGCTAGTGGGATTCTTGTCAATTCTTCTTGTGAATAAGCAAGCAGAGAGAACAGTAAGGAACGTTGCGATCACTCATACAACTCATGCTTTCCTCCGTAGTCCAGCTCTGTTGTAGAGTGACTCTCCGCACCTAGATCGCGTTCATCGTTGAACCTGAAGCCCCTCGCACTCCCAGGCACAGCACCTACGGCCACACCTCTTGCAACCGCTTAGGCCCTCAGATATCAGCGTAAAACACGCTGATTGCGCTGATTTTGTAGCTCAGATTTTCGTTTTCCCTTAAGATTCAGCATAAGCTTCAAATTTGCACTGAAATTTCAGTATAACCTATTTTGCCACACTGACCATTTTGCGTGTTGCTCTACAAGTAACACTGACGAATCAGTATAGTGTACCGAGTCACACTGATTCGGACATGATAGGGTATGGGTGTACAGGGGGTGTTCAAACCAGGATTCCTGGAAAAAAATTCATAAAACTATTGAAGTAGTTCCCGTAGACGAGTACCAAACTTGCGACCTTTGCGAGTTCAAGACATACAACACACAACTACGCCAGTATCACCGTTTGTTACGTGCACTGATATATGTAAGACTAATGTTTCAATTTGCTTTGAAAATTCACTGAAAAATCAGCATAAATTTAACCCCCAACGCTGATTTGGACACAATCTTGGACACTGCACACTGATCGATCGGCATACCCTGAAACCAATGAGGGCCTGCAACCGCTACTAAAAGACCTTCCGTCACTTGTATCTTGCAACAAGCGCTTCACTACCCCTTGCTGCTAGGCTTGATAATGCAGATTCTACTACAATATCAGCGTGTCACACCTGCTGCCACCCCTGAAGACCAGCACACTGCAATCCATTAAGTGATACCAAGAGTGTAACAAAGGCTGCCACACAGCTCATCTTCTTACAACGCATCAACCTTCTCCAGGCCTCCTGCATCCACCCCTTTCACATCCCCATTTGTTGCATCTACGGACACACCATCTTCCTCAGCAACCCCAACCCCAAGTGTCCGCCCTGTTGCTCTTGATCCGCGAATGCGCCACATACTCCACACGTTTCTTGCCCCCAGGACAAATGGGCACCGGAATTAAAGGTAATAATATGCCTGTTTGGTCATCGACCAGCTGTACGGTATGTGTCGGAGGGCAACGGAAACATATGGCAACCGCATGACTCAGTAATCAACAGCATGACTCATGAGTCAAGGCAAGATTGTAAGTACAGGCATGATGTGATGAGTCAACAAGACATTAGTGTGTTACAGCAATGCATGCACACTTCCACATTTCTTAACTTGAGTACTTATCATTTACACTGTTACAAAAGTTCAAAATGTATAAGGGTCCTGCTTACAAACCCGTCCAATGGGCGTAGCTATGTGCTACTGTGTCTTGACAGTCTTTGGGCGGCGAGGCTTGTACACCATTGGCAGAAAAATCAAGAGAATCGGGATGACAGTACCAGTATAGTACATGCCACTATAGGCTGAGTATGCTCCCGATAGTGTCATTACCTGCATCTTGAACAGCCATAGCAAACACAGTCAAACGAGAGAAGCAATGCGCATGAAGCACTGGGCAGTATAGATGCATGGAGGCCCATAGTGGAAATTACGGCCCCGGCAGCGATGTTTACTGGAAGTTCCATGTAAAGAAAATAAGAAAGTTGAAGAAGAAAAAAAAGGTGAAAACATGCACACTTACGCAGAAGGCACTGGCCAAGTAGCTGCAGACAAAGATGCTATAGAGGGTATGAAGAAGCGTTACAATGCGGTGGGTGTTGGTGCCCTTGGCGATTCCAGCAGTGAGCTGGTAGATGGCTGCATGAGAGGGAAGGGGAATGAAGGGGAGGGGAGGTGACTTTTGAGCCGACTGAAAAGTCACCTCCTTGCCATGCGGTGGGTGATGGTGCCCTTGGGGATTCCATTCCAGCAGTGACCTGGCAGACGGCTGCATGAGAGGGAAGATGAACGAAGGGAAGCGGAGCAGAGGATTTGAGAGATGAATTTGAGCGCAAGTCTGCAGGAAATGGTGTGCCCAAGTAACAGGTTATGATCCCATGGTCAAGAAACGGGAAAGGGAAATGGGTATGGGATTTGGGTATGCAATGGTGGTGGGAGTGGTAGTGCGAGTAGGAATGGAAAATGGATATGGCAAGAGAAACGGGAATGCACAGTAGAAATGGATGGGTATGGAAAAGAAAACAGGCCCGGAAGAATGAATGGCAATTGGATGGAAGTACTCGAATGAACATGGAAACTGAACGAGAGGGGGAAAAAAAAAACTTGTCAGAAGTGCAGGAGATAGCAGGATTGTAGTGATCTTCAATCTATATTCATGCAACTATCAATTTTGGGGTGTGTCCACACCTTTAGAGCTGGCAACAGCAAGCGCCCAATTGGCAAAAAAGATGAAGTCACCCCAATTCAAGCCCTGTGGGTAACACAAAGTGGGGGTTCGGAAAAAGTGCACATGGTCGGGAGATTATGCAGCGGGAGACACAGCCTTTGAAATCAACAAATAATCTGACACAGAAGGTGCAACTGAAATCAGCAATGCATATGGCTCTGCGTGCATATGGCTCTGCGTGCATGGGGCAAGTAGAAGGTTCTGTACACTCAGAGAATAAGAAGCTTGCTCTAATGGAACCAAGGCTATATACGCTGATCGCTAAAAGCTGCAGTGGTTGTTAAGATACCAGAAATTGCAAAAGCAGTTTGCACAAATTGGCCTTGGGTGCCAATATATGAGCAACAACGTTGTGGCTGCTGGCATGAGAGTGAGGTGGGGTGACGTGAATGGGAACAGGACAGGGTGACGCAGAGATAACGTTCCTTCGAGCGAGATGGCACGGGGCCATGAACATGGCAGATAGGGGTGACGCACGTGGGGGAGAGAAGCATGGGGAGTAGGAGTGAGGCAGATGGGAGACGGGGTAAGGGAGAACGCACATGGGAGACGGGGTAAGGGAGAACGCACATGGGAGACGGGGTAAGGGAGAACGCACATGGGAGACAGGGTAAGGGAGAACGCACATGGGAGACGGGGTAAGGGAGAACGCACATGGGAGACGGGGTAAGGGAGAACGCACATGGGAGACGGGGTAAGGGAGAACGCACATGGGAGACGGGGTAAGGGAGAACGCACATGGGAGACGGGGTAAGAGAGAACGCACATGGGAGACAGGGTAAGGGAGAACGCACATGGGAGACGGGGTAAGGGAGAACGCACATGGGAGACGGGGTAAGGGAGAACGCACATGGGAGACGGGGTAAGGGAGAACGCACATGGGAGACGGCGCTGACAAGCATGGTGGCGAGCATGTGGACGAAGGTGGGCCTCCTGCCGGGCGGCACCATGCGCTTGTACACGTCTGTGCAGGTCGCAGCGCAGGTGACCAGCAGTGGACGGATGGCAGGAAGTCACGAGGGAGCAGCGGACAAGCACGCCACATGATGCATGAAGAATGAAGCAATATCGCATGGTGAAGCATGGCGCAATCATGATACATGAAGCATGCAGTTGAATCATGGAGCATGGAGCACGGAGCACGGAGCATGGAGCACGGAGCATGGAGCACGGAGCACGGAGCATGTGTATGCCAGCCAAAGAGGAAAGGACTAGAAGGCAGGGAGCACATGCACACGAATGGTTGAAGAGCGATGCTCAAACTCGCAGAGGTCGAGGAACGGTTCAGAGAGGTCCAAAGAGGTGCAGAGAGCTACAGAGTGGTTCAAAGAGATTCAGGGAGGTCGAGAGGTGAAGGTGCCGTGCGGCGTGGACTCACAGAGCCTGAGCCAGAGACCGTAGGAAATGTTCCACGTGGTGGCGAAGTCGAGGCAGCTCTTGGGAAACTCAACCCCCAGCATGTCCGCGTTGCGAGCCCGGTTCCACAGCGCCTTTCCCTCCCCTGCAGGCGCCGCACGGGTCTTATCGCCCTCATGCTTCCCTACATCCCCATCCCCGCCACCCTTCCCATTCCCCTTCCCCCCTTCCGATTCCCCCCCGTTTCCCTTCATGTCCCCGCCCTTTCCAGTCTCCCCATTGGGGGCCTCCCAGCCGCTGAACCCCAGGCGACCAACGATCATGGCAGCCTCGGTGATGCTCCAGAGGATGTACGTTCGGAAGCGCCACACCACGCCGGCGTGGTGCGCGTAGAGCCAGCGCAGGTGGAAGGGGAAGGAGCGGTTCTTGCGCAGGTCGCTGATGCGCGTGAGGTCAAGCGAGGGGGACACAAGCAGGAAGACGGCCGCTGCAAGGACGCCCTGGATGAACGCGCGGCAGAAGGGCGGCAGGATGGGTGCCTGCTTGAAACCTGGCGACCAGATCTGCAGGGGAGGCATGGATGGCAAGAGACGGAAGAGTGAGGTTAAGGATGAACGCGTGGAACAAGGGCGGCAGGACAGATGGCTGCTTGAGACCCGGGGACCAGATCTCCAGGTGGTGAGGAGGGGGGTGGGTGGGTGGGAACGTGCGGAGTGGTGAGGCGAGGCGCGCGTGTGGAGATGATGCCATGAACGAATGCATGGAAGGATGGCAGACGAACGGACAGCAGTTTCAGTGTGAAGGTCCATATTAAGTGCACTGTGAGGAGAGGCGAGATGAAATGTAGGAAGACGGAACGGATGAGATGAAAAGTGGAGGGGAGGTTCGACACAAGAAGATGAAAAGTAGGAGCACGAGAGCCCGAAACATGGCGTCACAACACAGACGATGATATGGATATGTATGGCTACGGCTATGGATATGGATAGGGATAGGGATACATTGATAAGGATATGCACGTGCATGTGGAGGCATGTCAAGATTGAAAACGTACCCCTTGTCGTCGCGTCCAGTCATTGTACACCTTGAACTCGAAGAACGGGCCTGTTATGTGCAGCCCGAAGCAGAACAGGTACCCCATCAGCTCCAGCACCGACGGCATGGTAACCAGCGCCGCGTTTCGCCGCTCCAATCGCGAACGCTCCATCCGCTCCTCCCGCCGCCTCTGCTCCTCCGTTAATTCCTTCCTCTCCTTCTCGTCCTTAGCTTGCGCGCCTTCGTACTTCTCCTTGAGCAGCGTGAGCCCGTCCTGGTAGTTATACGCAACAGCGGAGAGCTTTGTAGCGAGGACGGTGAGCGCGCCTGTGCAGTCGAGCACGCCCTCCGTGCGGGTCTCGTGGGTCCGCATGATGACGTGGCTGCAGGAGGTTGGATCGCGTTGAACGAGGGAAATACACGTCAGCAAGTCAACGTCGGTGGGTTAAGGAAGTTTGAAGCGGGAAATGTGGAGACGGAGGTATGTTCGCACGAAAGTACTGAGGGATGAACGTTAGCTGGAAGAGGATGCAAAGAGGGGAAACGAGACGGCTGGCAATGACACAGAAGGCACTTAAAGCCTTGGGTGCAAAGGTTTGCCCCAAAGGCTGCTACCGTCTTGACCTTGTGCGGCTTGACTCATGATTCCAGAACCAAAGAAACACCAAGAAGTAGAGAACGACGAGAAGGGGAACTTACCACCCAATCAAGTACGCGAACGTTCCGAAGAACGTTAGGACGCCGCATTTTCTACGAAACAGCCGCATTACGGCCATGGAGTAGAGCATGCACACGAAGAAGTGCGCGTCCGCCGTCCATCCGAACACGAACGCCGATAGAAGCAGTCCCGTTACTATGCAGTACAGATGGCGGAGTGAAGGCGATGAGATGAATCTGTGAAGCCACGCAATCGGGACGAACGCGAAGCTAGCTAGCAAGAAAGTCGCGGCTGGACGGGGCGTGCCGAAAAGGTCAGCGAATGACTGTATGGGATCCATGGCGGAGCCCAACGCGCGGCAAGGAAAAGCAGTGGGCCGATGCGGAGACGAAAGGCGGGTCAAGGCTGTTCTTGCAGTTCTTGCTCGTGTCCTTGCTTGTTCTTGCTGTTCTTGTTCTCGATCTTGCTGGTGTTCTAGTCAACGTACTCCCCGCCTTGTCCATTTTATATCAGCTCTTTATTCAAAAGGCCGCCGCGTCCTTCCCTTACACTCTTCGCGGTTTTCCTCCGCGCCTCTTCGTCACCCGCTGGTAGCACCCCCTTGCTTCCCCTTCCCCCTCCTCCGTTCCCCGCTTTCCTGTTTGGCGCGTGCCGTGCGCGCGCAAGAGAAAGACGAACTCTGTCAGGCTACGACCACCGTGGGCTACTACCGAATTACTCCGCAAGACTGAGATCGACGAAGTTTGAGATGTTCGAAATGCCACAAGCATGTGGTGGCGCTGCCGCCGGTGGTGGCGTGTTGTAACGCCATAATCGCAACCATCTACCGAAGTGGATGCAACGGATGGCGAGCGTTGGCGAGAATGAATCCGAAGACTAGGCAAATCGCGATGACGTGTCAGAAATGCATACTGCAAACCATACGTTCCATGTATCCGCGCACGTGAAGCAGGGGACGTTCGGACGGGAAAGGCGAAAAAGCGCTCTGGGCAGACTGCCATGCCATGCGAGATATTCCTAGGGGAAATCTCCCCTGGCGCCGGCGACCGAAGGCCTGGCTCGAAGAGACCTGACCGACCCGATGCCATCGCCATCGTAACCCGCAGCCGCGCGAAGGGAACCCGCCAGCGTGGCACTCGGGCACTAGGCCGACCACCTAGCAAGAAATTGGAGGGCCGACCATTTGTGCCCTACCTGGGACCCCGAGGCCGCAGCTGCCTGTGGGAAGCGTGCTGCTGACGCAGCAGCGGGCGGGGACCGCAGCCAAAATCGCGAACGCCATCAGGGAGCGCCCCCTCAACGCCGATCGCAGGATCGACCCTACGTAGGATCTAAGTTTTGCGTGGTTTAATTTGCATCTACAGGTTTTTACTACATTGCGCGTAGTTTTAATAGGGTGGACGTTCGATATTCGACATTCGATTGCAGGTTCGGCGTTCAGGTGACGCGTCCTTAGGCAGTCATGAATAGGCATGAGCAATGACCGAACCTGGTCGATTCGGTAATTTTTTATATCAGACCGAGGCGGTTCGCCTCACAGCTGGTTCGGATCTGACAAGGTGGCCAACATCGGTACCGGCTCCTGTTAGCCTTCGAGCAACGCCGGTTCGATTCGTTATCAGGGAGGCTCGATAATACTAAAACCAGGCCATCCTGGTGTAATTCTGAAATAACCTCTCTATGATGCTTACAGTAAGGTTTAGGGGAGTAAAACCTACAAATATTCTATGTCTAAAAAAGTAGCTCAGAAAACAGTTTACAGGGTATTCACACATCACCAAAAATCATGGAATAATGGTTCGGAAGCATGCTTCTAACCTCGTTTAAAAAAAAAAATAAAAAAAATGAAACGCAATATGCTTCGCAAGGTTGACGAACCTTGGCTTGTTCGCGATCCTGATGGCGCTCTGGTTGTCACAGTGAAGACGAAAGGTGGGCAAAGTTGGAATTTTCCCTTCATGCAGCACTTCTTGCAGATTAAGCCATTCACGAACTGGAGCCGTTGCAGTCATGTATTCTGTTTTGGTTGATGTCCGGGCAACCCGCTCCTCCTTCCACGAGTTCTAGGAGATTGGGGCCGTTGGCTCCAGGCGGAAGACGAAGCCGGTTCGTGATCGTCGATTGGCAGGGTCAGCAGCATGATCTGCGTCCAAGTAACCGGTAAGGTTGAAGGATGCTGTTATCAGCGTGTAGTAGGAGAGCTCGATGTCAGGCGTGGAAACAAAGTACTGTAGGGCGCGCTCCAGGTCCAGCTTGTTCTTTGCTACTGGCTCGTGTGAGTACTATGCCACTTGGCTGGAGATGCACAAAAGGTCGGGTCGGCAAGTGAAAGAGGTGAACAACAGGCACCCCAATTGCTGCTAGTACAGCTGGAGTCCTGCGGGTGAAAGAGGTTTGTTGTCCGGTTTGTAGTTGATGCTGGGCGTGCGGTAAGGAGGTGAGAGTGGTGCGGACAAAATTTTGATGGTGATGTTAACGCACTACGCCAGGTTTTGTTTGAATTGGTTCATGAGCTCGTTGCTTGTATCAGTGTAGAGCGGGTCGTCGACGTAGACTGTCAGGAAGATGTCGTCGCCGTTGAAGTAGAGGCGGCTGTCAAACTATATGTGTTGCTTGTTGTGTAGGCTGTAGTGGGGTAGCCAATATGGGGTGCAACCCAATTAGAGTTTACTACTTGTACTCCTCCATGTTGATAGTTTACACATTCTTGTTCATACTTCTGATATGGTTTCAGAGCAGGTCCTAGCCTAGGACCGTTTTTTTTTTAGGGCCCACCGAGAAGCGTTACCCCACCAGTCGCGCCGCCGTGTTAGCGCTGCGCTACCTTGCCCTACCATGCGTTGCGCTGCCTGCGCACGCCCTGCCCTGCCTTGCCAGCGCGCCGCGCCGTGACGCCTTGCCCGCACATCACCCGCCGCAGCGCGCCCTGCCCTGCCCGCGCGCCGCTCGCCGCCGCGAGCCCTGAGCTGCCCGCGCGCTGCATGCCGCAGTGCGCTCTGCCCTGCCCACGCGCCGCCCACTGCGGCGCGCCCTGCCTTGCCCGCGCGCCGCCCGCTGCAGCGTGCACTGCCCTGCCCGCGCGCTGCTCGCCAACACGCCGCGCGCCCTGCCTGCGCGCCGCTTGCCGCCGCACCTCGCGCCCTGCCTGCGCGCCGCCGCGCCGCGTGCCCTACTTGCGCGCCGCTCGTTGCCACCGCAACGCCATGCCGCCGCGCCGCACGCCCTGCCCTGCCAGCGCGCCGCCGCCGCGCGCCCTGCCCTACCCATGCGCCGCCCGCCGCGCGCCCTGCTCTGCCCGCGCGCCGCCCACCGCCGGCCCTGCCCTGCCCGCGCGCCGCCCGCCACCGGCTCTGCTCTGCCCGCAAGCCGCCCGCCGCCACGCGCCCTGCCCTTCCCGCGCGTTGCTGCTGCTGAGCGCCCTGCCCTGTCTGCGCGCTGCCCGCTGCCGTGCGCCCTGCCCTGCCATCGCGCCGCCAGCAGCCAAGCGCCCTGCCCTGCCCTTGTGCCGCTAGCAGCTGCGCTGCCCTTCCTGTGCGCCGCCCTGCTGGCCACTGCCTTGCCCTGCCCTCTCTGCGCGCTGCCTTGCTGCTAGCACGCTATCCTGCTCTGTCTGCTATGGCGACCCTGCGCGTCCTCACCTTTGATTCGGAGGGCCGCCCGATCGAGTTCGAATCTTGGCTCGATGACTTGCAGCTCTTCTTATAGAGCGACTATAAGGACGGGATTTCGTTGTTTGACCTCACTTCTGGCACCTCTGTCGCCCCTGCCGACACAGCTGACAGTGTAGCTCGCTCTCAGTGGCTTACTCGTGACGCTACTGCTCACCTAGCCGTTCGCAATCACCTGCCGTTAGCCAAACGTGCTCACTTCGAACAGCACAAGACTGCAAAGGCACTGTACGACGCTGTAGTCGCTCGTTACTACTCCCCGGCCACTGTTGCCTTAGGCCGCCTTCTCCTTCCATACCTCTTCCCACAGCTGTCCGCCTTTGCCACAGTAGCCGACCTCGTTACTCACCTTCGCACTAGTGACACTTGCTACCGCACTGCGCTTCCCACCGAGTTTCTCACCAAGAACCCTCCTCTTATGTACATCACTCACTACTTCATAGTCAACCACCTCCCTGAATCTCTTAGCGCAGTCAGGGACCTCCTTCTTGCCGTTGACCCCACCACCCTCACTGTCGACCTGCTCGAGAAGCACCTCCTTGAAGCTGAGACTAGCATAGTCACTGTAAGTGCTCCTCGTGGCACTCCTCCCACTCCCTTCTTTGAGGGATGATCGCCCTCCCCCCTTCTCCCCTCAATCGCCTCTGCTGCAGCTGTTGACTACCTTCGTGCTGAGGAGGAGTTGCGTTTGCCCCTAGTGGGAGGCACCACAACGGCAGAGGCAGGGGAGGCAGGGGCGGTGGGGGCGGCAGAGGTGGAGGCGGTGGAGGCGGTGGAGGCGGTGGAGGGGGCGGCGGTGGCGGAGGGAGTGGTGGTGGGGGTGGAGGTGTAGGTGGAGGCAATGGTGGCGGCAGTGGGAGTGGAGGTGGTGGCGGTGGTGGCGGCCGAGGTACCATAGTCACACCGCTCTCTGCACCTGTTGCTGTCTCTCTGGCTCACCCCTTTGGGGGCCCAGTCCTTGCACGTTCCTCCACTGTTCTGCCTTGTCCGGCGGTTCCGTCTGGCTCACTGTCAGGTCTCCATCTCCCCTCGTTCTCTACGAACTTG